CTCTCTCTCTCTCTCTCTCTCTCTCTCTCTCCTCACTTTATTTGTATCTCTGTCTTTGTCTCTCATCTTATTTTGTACTTTCTTGGTGGTATTGAAATATCCTCATATTTTTCTTATCCTTAAAAAACAAAAAGCCATTCCCTAGCCTAGACCTTGTTAGCTGCCATTTTCCTTCTCTTTTCCTCTTTATAGCTACATGTCTTAAAGAGTTTTCTGTATTTCCCCACTCAGCTTTATCGTTCATATTCACATTTTGCCCCACTGGATTTGATTCCCTGCACTCCCCTGAATCAGGGTTCCCCAAGATCACTAAAGGCCTCCTTTGGTATGAAGCCCAATGAACACATTTTCTATCTTTACCTTATTGACCTCTGCCCAATATATTATCACTAAAGTCTACTTCTTTCTTTCCATGGTTTTCTTTTGTGGCTTCCATAAAGCCTTCTTCCTTTTCCTCACCCTTGTTGGAGTAGGAAGTTTACTGTACTTGTTCTTGTAAAAATCTACGAGTACATTTAGTTTATAATCATCTATGGACATGAACATATATTTTCTCCATTAGACGATGATATACTGAAGACAGAAACTGTGTCATTTAAGTTTTTGAATCCTTAGCATCTAGGACAGTGCCTTCATCAATAAACGTTGCTTTCTAGAACATTAAATGAAAAAGAAAATGTTCTTCTCTAACTTTAGTTTTAACACTAACTGTGACAGAAACTGCTTGTTGCCTCTAATATCCTTTCTCCTTCTTTTTCTTTCTAATGGAAACTTAACTGTGTTCAGCTGTAAAATTACATTTCCCAGCCTCTCTGGTGTGGCCATATGATGAGGTTCAGGGTAATGGGAGGAAAACAGGAAGTACCTCCAGATGACAATTTAGAAAGGTGGGGCTCCTCTTCTCTCCTTATTGTTTCTTCTCCTGTGAAGTGAATGGTTACAGCTCTATCAGCCCTCTTATGACCTCGAGAACAGAAGGCAGAACAGAAAGAAATGAGTCTAGGTCTGTGTGAGATCTTGGTAGGGTTCAATGGTTTGAATGTTTGTACCCTCTCAAACTCACGTTAAATTTTAATTTTCATTGTAACAGTAGTAAAAGGTGGGACCTTTAAGAGATACTTAGACCATCAGGGCTCTGCCCTCACGAATAGATTAATGCTGTTATCTATCTCAGAAGTGGGTTCCAAAAGGATAAGCTTGGCTCTCTATTCTCAATCTCTTTCTCTCTCTCTTCTCTTTTTTCCTTTCTCTTTCTCTCTTTCTTTCTCTCTCCCTCTCTCCTGCCCTTTCTCTCTCCCTTCCTCTCATCCTACCTTTTGCCCTTCCTCCCTAGGATGATGTAGCCAGAAGCCCCTTGCAAGATGCCAGCCCCTCAGCCTTGCTCTTTGCAGCCAGCAGAACCGTGACCCAATACATTTTTGTTCGTTTTAAATTACTCCATCTGTTCCATTCTGCTACAACAGCACAAAATGGGCTAAGATATAGGGTTATTACATAAGACCTGTAAAAAATACCTCTCTAGTTTTAAAATCTAAGATAATATGCCAGGTACTATGGCACATTCCTGTAATCCCAGCTACTCAGGAAGCTGGGGCAGGAGGGTCACTTGAACCCAGGAGTTTGAGGCTGCAGTGAGCTATGATTGCTCCACTGCACTCCAGCCTGGGGAGCAGAGAGAGGCCCTGTCTCCTAAAAAAAAAGAAAAAGTAAGATAATAGACATTTAAACTGTTTAAGTCACTCTAAGTAAATCTCTATTACTAACAGCTAAACTTAATTCTAACATATACACATCCTGAAATACAAATTCTTAACATAAATTAGCACACCTGAGGGCTAGAGAGTCAAGCCTTTGTTTTCTAATTCACTTTCACCCTAGGGGTAGATTTAGGTAAAACACAGAAGCTGGATGACCCGTAACATGTTGCTGTACACAGCTTCATGGGTTTGTCCAGAGCAGTGAGCTCTTGTAGGGAAAAAGTGGGAGTTTAGCAGACTAAGACGTGGTTGTTATTTTGGAGCCAATTTTTGAGAGTAAAGTGGCTTGATTAAATCTACATTGGATTATTCAGGAAGTGATTGGATTAAACAGGCCAGTTAATTCAGCCAAATGGCTATCTTCTTTTAAATAAATCTGCAACTGAATCTTTTGCAAGTTGATCATTCAAAGACCAAATGAAATTTGTTCACAAAATAGTGCAGTCCAACAGCATGTACATGCTCTTTTAAAATATAAGATAATATGCCAAGTACTATGGCAACATTCCGGTAATCCCAGTTTACAGGTTCAAGAGGATTGCTTGAACCTGGGAGTTTGAGGCTGCGGTGAGCTATGATTGTTTCACTGCACTCTAGCCTGGGGTGTACAAGAGCGTGTCACTGGGGTCTAGGAAGTGCATTAGTTCTAATTAAGGAGCTCACAGTAATATCTGGAGCAAGTACATATATCTAGAAGGGCTGGACCACAACAGGTAGAGAGGCAGTCTGGGTAGTGACTAATTTTTCAATGTCTTAGAAAAGCCTGCCTTGATTTATCCTTAACAGCATTCAAAATATTTTTGCAACTATAATTTTAAAATATGTTTTGAAATAATTTGAATACCTGAATGTATGTGAAAGAGTCCAGACTCATGTATTTACACAGCAAAGTTTGATAAGGCAGAGTTTTTCCCATATAGGCATGCAATTGATTTAACTATAAGCTTGACCCATGGAATTCTCTTGTAAACTGACAGCCATGAGAAAACCCACTCTGGCTGTGGAGCCCTCCTCCTGGAAATAGAGCAGCGCTTCTTGCCCTTTCTCACAGTCCTCTTGGCTGCAGGGAAACAAGAATGCTCTTTGTCAAGGCATACCCAGGAGGAGGATTTTAAAACTCAATTTTCTCATGGTGTATTCAAATAAAAAGGAATGAAGATAATTTAATTTGAAATATGTCCAAGTGTTTCTTGTATCATCCCTGTGCTGTGGCATGTTTCTAAAGCAAACAAGATAGTAAGAAATCAAATATGAAGACATTCAGCAGAGGGTTTCATGTCCTAAAAATGGGCATTTATAGAGCTTACCATAGCTTATCTGTTATCTCTTCTGAAATAAAATGCTTCATGCCTTGGTTTTTTGACAAAGACACACAAGCAGAGATGACTACCAGATCATATTCATAACCTCAACCTATCTCAACGTATCACGTAGCATTTCTCCAGTAGTCCTGCTACTTAGCTTCTTTCTAGACACGGTAAATAAATCATGAATTGAAGGAGATCTTAGCTGCAGAAAGAGGGTGGGTTACCATCCACACAGACTAAGCCTGCAGGACCCTGCAATGGAATCTGTAAAGTGAGGGTGTTCAGTGTCCTGAAGTCATCCCACCCAGGATACTTCATAGGAGGTGGTGCTTCCTCAGAACTGGCCCAGCGACTTACTGCTGCTCTTGGCTCTGACCCAATGTGGTACTCTAGCTGCAGGCAGCACATGGTAGGCACTCAGTGAAGCTGAATCATTGAAGATTATGTGAAGTTTCTAGTTTCAATTGGTTTTCAGTTAAGGCTTTATTAGTAGATTATCTGTATAAAATCCTTTTTGTTTATTTTTCACTTCAACCCATATAGTCACCAGTTAAAAGTCTCTACAACCAGTATTGGTCTAATGCTAGTTACTGTACACTATTTTTAAAGGAACACATGAAGTGTTGTACATTTTCCTAAATGTAACTTCCGCACTATTCACATATTAATAAGGCTAAAATAGCAGGCTATGTATTCAGACTACCTAAGATCTAATCCTACATCTGTTATTAATTGTAACAATTAGTATAATGTAAAGCTGATGAGAGAACTTTCTGATAAGGGAAAGTTATTTTGTCTAACTGTGCTTCTTTCCTCAATTGTAATAAACAGGAATAAAAATTACAATACCTACTGACAGATAGAAAGCACTCAGTAGATGCGATTATATGTAGTAGAAGCTATCAAATATGCAGGATTGAAATTTAACACACATGTAAAAAAAATTCCATTGTTAACAATCAATGTGAATGATTTTTGGGCTTTGGAGTAAAGTAATTTGGCTTGATACAAAGATATTACGGTCATAATTATTAAGTAGTAGAATGGACTAGAAAAAATTTTTTAACTTCTATGCAGAAATTTACACATAAAAAGGACTGTTGACCCTCAAAGCTGTCCACTTATCAGATATTCCTGTAGGTTTATTCAAATTCTACTATTGTTGCTGAAAATGATTTTGGTTGTTCTGTTTAGGAAAGGCCATCAGAGACAATTTATAGGCTATGGGCAAAAATTAATCAAATCCATTTTTGTTTCCCATCACATCTGACATTGATTTGTGACTATTCTCCTAAATCATATTTAGCTTTAAAAAATTGTTAACAGTAATAGAAATCTGGAGAATAAATAACTGACCTTGAAAGCAATCATATTTAGCGTTAAACAGAATTGTTAACACTAATAGAAGTCCAAAGAATAAATAGATGACCCTGAAAGCAATCATTTTTAGCCCTAAACAGACCTGCTAACACTATTAAAGTCCAAAGAATGAATAACTGGCCCTGGAAGAAATGAACACATTTATTCCTCACTCACTCATTCATACATATTTATTTCAATGCACTACTAAGGTTGATTTTATGATAGCAAGCTCACTGGTTTAAGTCAATTATTTCTTCCAGTGATTGTTTCAGTGATTTTGCATATATGTTCCTGCATATGTTTAATTAAATAAAAGCAATCCAATTTAGTTTATAGATACACCTCTGACTTTGAAAGGATCCACAACGATGCCACTGCAGAGTGTCACAGGAAAATTGTGGTAAACATTACTTTGTTTTTAGTAAAAGTGATGCCCTTGATGTTGGTGAAGTAGACAAATAAGTTTGTTATCACAGTGAAATGTTTTCGATCCCTGTGGTATTAGTTCCCAGGACTGCCGTGACAAAGGATCACAAACTGGGTATCTTAAACCAACAGAAATTTATTGTCTCACAGTTCTGGAAGCAAGAAGCCCAACATCAAGGTGTTGGCAGGGTCTTGCTTTGCTTCCTCTGAAGGCTCTGGGGAAGGAGGCTTCCTTAGGCTTCCTTACCTCTTCATGCCTTCTGGTGGCTTCTACCAATTCTTATTATTTCTTGGCATGGAGATGCATTACTCCAATCTCTGCCTCCACTTCTGTAGCACTCTACCTGTACCTCTGTGTACATTTCCCTTTTCTTCTCATAAGGACACCGAGTCATATTCAATTAAGGTCTCACCCTACTCTAGTATGACCTCACCTTACCTTCATTTCATCTGCAAAGACCCTATTTCCAATTAAAGTCACATTCACAGGTACCAGGGGTGAAGATTTCAACATAAATTTTTGGGCAATGCAATTCAACTCAACACTTTATGAGTCAAATTACTCAGGCTATAGGCTCCAGTTATTCAATCAAAACTAATATAGATGTTGCTGTGAAGGTAGGTGTTGTTAAAGCCTATGACAGTTTGGTTTGTGTAAGAAAGATTATCCTAGATAATCTGGGTTGGCCTGATTCAAGTAATTGAGCAGAACTTGGGCTTCCTTGAGGAAGACATTCTACTTGTGGACAGCAGTGTCAGCCCCTGCTCGAGAGTTTCTGACTGCCCTTCCTGAAGGCCTGCTGTACAGATTTCAGACTTTTGTAGCCAGCTGCCACAATCACGTAAGCCAATTCTTTGCAATAAATCAATATATATCCATATATATTTACATTATTTCTAAATATATATTTCATTAAAAATATATAATGTGAATTTATTATATATTCATATTAACTATGTATATTGATTACAAGTTCTGTTTCTCTGGTGGAACCCTAAATGATACAATACTTAAAGCAGTAATACACTTCTTGACATCAAGATTTTCTCATTTAGAAATCATTTGCTGACACCTGCACTATTGCTTCCAGCATGATCTAGGGCCTATGTACATGAGCTCTGGAGCTAGGCAACCTGGGCTCAAAGCCTGGCTCCACTGCTTACTGTTTCTGTCACCTTACTCAACGTAACATAACTTCTCATTGCCTCAGTTTCTATATCTGTATGAGGGTGCGTAATAATATTTTACAGAGCAAATAAAACTCATTAATACAGCAATTAATGCCTGTTAATACTTATTATAGAACCAATAGCATGTTGCAGCCAACTCATTTCATTAAAAATGAAATGGCTCCGGAAAGCCAGTTGTGATCACCCCTTCTCAACACTACATTGAGCTTTCAAGAACTTTGGTAGCCTGAACATGGCTATGGTGGGGATATTTACACTACGGAAATTGGCAAGCACTGAAAGTCAGGGCTTCTTCTTTTTTTCTTTTTCCAACTCTATTGCCAGCATAACATTGTTTATACTAGTGTCTGATACAAAGTTAGCTCTCTGTAAATGGTAGTGATTATAATAGGTAAATTGCAATAGGAAAAAAATAAGTGAGTAAGATTCATTCCTATCTTCAAAAAGAGTGAATAGTCCTAGTCTATACGGCCCCTTTGTACAATATAGAAAAAGGGATCCTTCCTTCAAGACATTTCACTAATATATGATAGAAAATCATATTAATTAAATCTATATTATGAATGGTGGCACTTAGAGTTATGTAATGCGTAACCCAGACAACTAACTATACCTAGTATTCCTACAAGAAGCTACACCCACAATGACTATTTCATTTTCCATTCTGTTTTAAAGGTAATTTTTTCCACTCAGTAACTATGGGAGTTGTTCCCCTATTTTCATTTAATCCTCAAATATAATGTCACTCTTATGAATAAATTGCTTGAAAATGTATTTCTTATAAAATAAAATAGTTTTGAATCCAGGACATTTTGAAACATCTTTGCAGTGGTAAAAAGGGATGTCAGCAAGAGGATATGAAAGAGAAATAAACAGTCACTGGAAACACACGCTGAAGGGAAGGTGGGGATTGGGGCACATATTTATAAAATCGCTTCAGCAAAATTGGATAATGCACAAGAACAGCAAAACGAAAACAAAAACAAAAACAAAAACAAAAAACTGACAACAATGAGGAATTCAACAGTGAAGGGCTAGTGGAATGTTTTGAGAATAATTCTTCCTTGCTGATGCCCCCCAGTTTGTAACTGCCCAGCAGTTCACCCTCCAATCTGAGTCAGGCCAGCTGCAGAGGCTGCAAAGTTACTAAGGCCCTCGATGACCATCCTGGACAGGCACTGTGAACACAGCCTCCCTGGTACATTCTTAGCGCACTCACAGAAACTGCTGCTTCCCAAGTCTTTCAGATGTGAAATGAAACCCCAAGGGCTGCATTAGCAAGGGGCAAAAACACATGCAACCAAAGCCAGCAGTAACTGCGAAACATCCCGGATTCCCATGAGAAACTCTCTGGATCTAGTTCCTCTACGTCACATGAGTGTGCAAACAGGAGACTACAAGAGTTTAAAAATACTGGGACTGCTGGAGATTTCCCTGGCCATATATAGTTAATTTGTTTCACAGTAAGTTCAAAAGAGACAAAGGGAGAGTGAGGGAGAGAAAGAAGGCAACGGGCAATCGGCTTGAGTGAGTTGGGAACCTGAACACAATACTGTGCCACCTTCCACCCCCCATCCCCCCACCCTGCCCCCAGCCCAATGCCTGCCGGCCTGCACTCCCACCCCCGCACTCCCACCCCCAGCCCCGAAGGCTGTCTTGAGCTTGTTTTCTCTCAAGGAAGCTGCAGCCGAGGTACTCCTCCGCCATCCCTGGACATCTGCTTGGCTTGTCTATTTTCTGCTACAGGCAGAGGACAGGAAGGAAGAGTTTGTTTCCTGTAAATAGAGGGAGAGAAAATTACAGCTATTATTGTTTTGACAACGGAAGCCCTCCCTGAAACTTGTACCACGGTTCTTTCCTGACAGGCAGCAGGTCTGAGTTGCCGACTCTCGACAGAAATTCCTCCCAAGGGGTCCCCGAGGAAAGCTGAAAGCCTTGATGGCTTTGCATTAGATGTCTAATGGCATAAGATGTAATTCTGGGCAATCTTGATATTGGGCTGTGGAAATGGAATGCAGCCTGTGTTTTGATGAATGTTTTGATACGAGCCTCTCCTACCCCAAGTGAGCATGCTGGATCCTGACCCTTAAGCACACACGCAGGTTTATGCAAACACACACCCAGGATGGAAAATGCCTTGGTACGGCAAATTATTTAAGCTTATCTTTTCAAATTCTCCCCCGTTCCCTGCTCTCCCAAACTTTATTTCTTTTGAAGATTCCTTGACTGTTTAAACTGAATAGAGATACACACATATTCAATGCAAAGCTACAAAATGACCCCTATATACTGGGTGTCCTACCTTCTTCTACTTTCAACATTTGATGTGTTCACACATTGTTGGAAATGTATTTGACCATGATCCTCAGATATAAATTTGTTATTTTTATATGTTTTAATTCATCTTTTACCTGATTGGTATTGGATACCTAAAAAGAAAGGAGGCAAGGAGCTAACTACCACTATTGGGTTGGGAAACAGGAAAATCTATTAATCCTGTGCCCACTTACTAAGGAGAATGAGGTTTGTTACTCCAAGGGATGATTATCTCCTACTGGTAGGACAAACAAACTTAATTTTGATGATTGAAACAGAATTCGTTTATATGTATGTGTGTGTGTGTGTGTGCATATATATATATATATATATATATATATATATATATATTTTTTTTTTTTTTTTTTTTTTGAGACAGAATTTCACTCTTGTTGCCCAGGCTGGAGTGCAGTGGCACAATCTTGGCTCACCACAATCTCTGCCTCCCAGGTTTCTCCTGCCTCAGCCTTTCAAGTAGCTGGGATTACAGGCATGCGCCACCATGCCGCTCTAATTTTGTGTTTTTAGTAGAGATGGAGTTTCTCCACGTGGGTAAGGCTGGTCTTGAACTCCTGATTTGGGTGATGCGCCCACTTCAGCCTCCCAAACTGCTGGGATTATAGGTGTGAGCCACCACACCTGGCTTTTATCAAATATATTAAGAAGGGGTTGTTTAGATTTCTTTGATGAATTTGCAACAATAATAGAACTCCTGAAGTAGGATTAAGTTCACGAGATTATTTATATTATTGGCTAACTGGACGCGCCAGCCTTTGGTTGTCCTGATTCACTGGCTGCTCCTTTGTAGGATTGTTTGCTGGTACCTCGTCCTCTGCTCTATCTCCAGATGATAGAATGTCCTGAAACTCAATGCTCGTCCCTCGTCACTGTTCCATCTCAGCCAATGGCTTCAGTATCTATATGGTTTCCCCGTTTGTGACTCCAGGCTTCACCTAACTCCTGAATTCCAGGTTCTCAGAAGCTATAGTGTATCTGACATATCCTCTTGGCTGTCTAATAGACATCTCAAACTTCACATGCCTAAAACCAGACTCGTGTATCCCCATCCTCAAAGCTGCATGCCACCTCAATAATTGCTACCACCATTCACCTAGATGCACAATCAGGACATCATCCCTAATTATTCTTTTCCCCTTATCCTCCATCCAATCTACCAGCAATTTTTCTTAACTCTACTGCCAATCTACATCCCCCATTTGTCTATCTTTCTCTAACCCCACAGCTACTATCGTAATCTAAGCCCCCATTCTCTTTCACCTGGACTACTGCAGTAGCCTCCATCTGATAGCTCCACTTAAATGCTTACAGACAAAATCCTTCTACACACAGCAGCTAGAGTGAGCTTTTGAAAATGTAAATGGGGTCATGGCATTTCCTTACTTAAAGCCCTTCAATGACTTCCCATCAAACCTCAGAAGAAAATCCAAACACCTCACCTTGACCTAGCCTTGCCCCTGATTATGTCTTCTATACAATCTAATCCCCTTTACTCACATGCTTCATCCATTTTTCTCTTCCTCAGGGAATCTCTCTCTCCCTAGAACCTCTGCTGAGAATGCTCTTCCCATAGAATTGTATGTCCTTGGCTCCTTTTGATACTCAAGTCTGAGATTAGATCTCATCTTCTAAGAGAAGCCTAATGCTTTTCTCAATTCTATTTCTACCATTGAACTTATCACTACTTGGTGATTTCTTATTTATTTACTTGTTTGTTATCATCTCCTTGCAACTGTATCATAAGCTTATGTGAGCAGAGACCTTGTCTTCATGTCCAGTGTTGCAGCCTAAGTGCCTAGAAGAGCCCCCCGCAGGCAGTGATGCCCAATAACTGTTAAATAAATGACAGAACCAATAAACATCCTACCAGGACCCCTGATCTGTTCTGGGATACCTGGAAAGACTTTCCTAAAGAAGTGTCTGAGTGGAATTCTGAATGATGTATGGTAATCAATGGGAAGAATTCAGGGAGGAAAACAGGAGAGAAAAGTGTTCTAGAAAGAAGAAACAATAGGTGCAAAACCTTGGAGTTCAAAGGAGAAACGTGCATTGGTTACACCTTCATGGTAAGAAGGTACCATGTTTGGAGTGCAAGGAGGATAGAAGTGTCAGCTGAAACTTAGAGAAGTATTCCGGAATTCTAGGCCAAGTTAAGGATTTCGGGCTTTACTTTGGGGGCTTTGGAAAACCATTGCTCCTTTGCACAGGCAGGTGGCGTACTATTTGCTCTCTAAAAATATACCTTTGGCTGCCATGTGAAAAAGAGGCTGAGGTGGAAATCAATGTGGCTGTTATTCTTCCTGCCATCAGATGGCTGCTGCAGCGATCTAGAGGAAAGATCATAGTAATTTGGACTAAATTAGTGGTGAAGGGGATGAAGAAATTGAAACAGATTCCAGAGACATTTAGCAGGTAAAATAAAATAATGGTGTTTAATTAGATAAAAGTAGAATGATGAAGATGGAAAGAGATGGAGATGCTAAGCTTGAAGCACAGGTTTTCAACATGGATGGAGGGGGGCACCATTCCTGGAGCCAGAGAACATGAAAGAGACTTGGAATGACAAAAAGCATCACCAGGTTGGTTTTCTGTATGTTTGGTTTGACTGTCTTTAAGGTAGCCAATTGGAGATGTAGAGGCAAACAGTTTGATTCATCAGTAGAAGCTCAAAGAAAAAGTATGGTGGGAAGGAGCTATAAATTCAGGAACATGATATATAGCCTATGAACACTTTGATAGCAAAACCAAATTTGCATTATTTATATTTTCTATAAAGTTCAACACACAAATATAAGCTACCATAACCACTGCAAATAGTAAGTATGTATGAAAGCAAATGATGCAGATCATTTTAAAGAAGGAAAATAAATATTCATTGGGAAAGTATCTTATTTAAAACATAGTTTTTAAAAAGTGAATGATAGGAAGATCATATATTTAAAAATTTTATTTTTATTTTTATTTTTTGAGAGTCTCACTCTGTTGCCCAAGCAGGAGTGTAGTGGTATAATCTTGGCTCACTGCAAGCTCCACCTTCTGGGTTCAAATGATTCTCAGACCTCAGCCTCCCTAGTAGCTAGGACCACAGGCACATACCACCACACCCAACTAACTTTTCGTATTTTTAGTAGAGACAGGGGTTCATCACATTGACCAGGCTGGTCTCGAACTCCTGACCGCAAGTGATTCACTTGCCTAGGTCTCTCAAAGTGCTGGGACTACAAGCATGAGCCACCATGCACAGTCTGTTTTAAATTTTCTGTGAACATTTTTTTCTGCCAACATTTGAAATTGGTTTAAAAAATGCCATGTTAAAAATTTCCCTAAAGCCAGGTGTGGGGGCTCATGCCTGTAATCCCAGCATTTTGGGAGGCTGAGGTGGGCAGATCACTCGAGGTCAGGAGTTCAAGACCAGCCTGTCCAACATGGTGAAACTCTATCTCCCCTAAAAGTACAAATATGAGTGGGGCACAATGGTGCATGCCTGTCATCTCACCTACTTAGGAGGCTGAGGCAAGAGAATCACTTGAACCCAAGAGGTGGAAGTTGCAGTGAGCTGAGATTGCGCCACTGAACTCCAGCCTGGGCAACACAGCAAGACTCCTTCTTAAAAAAAAAAAAAAATTTCCCCCAAGGACTACTTTATTCGTGAGAAAGTTTACTAGAGTATCAAAATTAGCTTAGTAATGAGAAAAATATATGCTAAATAAAAACATTGGCTATAATCTATCACAACTGTCTCTGGGTTGAAGAATCATAATGAAAGAGTATGTTTTCCTTACTTCCAAAGAAGTGCACAAAGTAGTAACTGGCCACCTTGCAATTCTGACTAATCCTCCATGTTACTCAAAACACATCAATTGATTACAGTAGGAGAATAAGAGTACATGAGCTTATTGTGCTTGAATTTGAATTGAGACAGAACCTGAGTGAGAGTTTCATGGACGTGAGCTACTCTATTATTTTCCTAGGATTGCCACACAAAATACCACAAACTGGGTGGCTTAAAATATCAGAAATGTATTCTCTCTCAGGTCTGGAGTGTAGAAGATCAATATCAAGGTGATGGCAGGGCTACACTTCCCCCAAATCCTCCAAGGGAAGATCATTCCTTACCTCTTATACCCCCAGGCGTTCCTTGGCTTGTGGCAGTATAACTGCAGTCTGTATGTGTCATCATATGGCCATCTTCCCTCTGTGTCTTTGTGTTGTCAGATGGCATTTTCCTCCCTATGTTTCTGTTTTCTCTTTTTTTATAAGGATGCCCGTCATATTGGATTAAGGCCCACCCTAACCAAGTATGACCTGATCTTAATTTATTACATCTGCAAATTCTCTGTTTCCAAACAAATTCACATTCACAGACATCAGGGTTTAAAACTTCAATATTTCTTTGGGTGGGTGGCAAAAATTCAACCTATAACATGAACCACGGATGCTAATGGAAATATGTGTGTGAAGTTACAAGAGTGGTCTGAGTGTTTGAATGTGCGTGAGTTTTTGTGTGAGTGTATGTGCACACAGCAAAGAATTATAACTAAGTAACCAATTCGTTGATCTTTAATCTGCTTCCAGGTTCTTGCTTTCAGTGGTTGCTTGGCTAGCTTTTATGCTGTCCCATGACTCCATTCACCATGAGTAATGGATCGTTTCCGGGCCTTCACTCCCACTTTTAATGAATACCAATGCTAATTAACTGACAGTAACATGTAGCTGCTCTTGGCTGCATGCATCTCTCACTGAGGTCATAATGGCTGTTGGTAATGTAATTTATTACTGTGTAAGGCACACTCTGGGACTCTCCATGTGTAAGACAATTTTTGTAAGTGCCAAAGCATTGCAAAGAAGGCCTTTCTTGGTAAGGTAATATGTTCCATAGCTTCTGGGCCTTGGCATAATGACACATCAAAGTCACTATGGTTCTACAGGAATCCTGTAAAGATTTCCAACCACAGTACCATCTGCTGGGAAGGACAGAAGACCAGTATGGACAAGGACAACTGTTTACATCCTGGAATCAGAAACAGCAACAGAACACTGTAAATTATCAGAACACCACATATCATTATTATTGTTGTTGTTTGCCTTAGAATTGTTTTGAGAGTGACAAAACTGCATCTCAAGGAAAAAACAACAACATCAAAGCAATATCAAGAATTTCTGTTTAGGGGAATAGCGGGCACCCAAGCCCTTATATGTCCTACAGCGAGGTCACTCGAGTCTGCTTGAGGACCCAACTCTGTACTCCCCGTGAACTCTACCAAATTAGCTTTACACGACGCAGCCATCTTGCTTCTCTAGAGGATCAAAGTAGCTGGACCCACGCCCAGTGTTCTGCTGATAACCAGTCACAGGATACGTTTGCACCCTGTTCTGCTCCTAGTACACCATGCTGCGGATTCCTCTGCATTTCCCAGTTTATATCCATGCAGGGACCTTGGGTTCACATATTTCCTTCTATTATCTGCACTAATCTGGTGACCCGAGATCATTTATGTACCCTACACTCTTGTTACAACGATCTGGAACTATGTAACTATTTTTTTCTCATGTATGGGGCTACTGTTCCCAACCAAGTCCTTTTATCCTTCCTGTAATAACTTTTGTAATAGTAACAGCACCTCCTTGTAACACTTAAAATGCTTGTCTCACAAGGGCAGCCTGACAAGGGAAAGTATGTCAATATAGTTTTTAAATGACAGCTGTATAGTGAAAAATCACGACTATCTAGTCAAAGTAGTAACTAACAATAACAGGGAGAAAGATATATCGCCACAAAAATAAAGAATTGGAGAGAATAATGTGAGTTAGACTGGATTTTAGCTGCTCAACAATGGGTGTCATTGGTTGATATGCCACACGTAGCACACCATATAAATACATAGTAAACGTGACCATAAAATATTGAAACTGACTTTTAAAAGATGCCAGAACTTAAACATCCTACTTATTTTCCTCAACTATGAAATCGTGTGGTTTTTTCAATGCTACTACATTTATCTAAAAGCCTTGTGAAACTCTCTTTTAGAAACATGGTTCAATTGAGTTTGTAAAAACCAAGAACAAAAAGCAAACTCATTACATCTTAAATTTGTGATCAAAGTGTTTAATCATCTTGATTATTCATCATATTCAGAAAGTTGGTTCCAAGTAACCTTGAAAAATCAAGACAGACCTTTTTGAGTGAACATTTACTATCACATTTTTAACTTTATCAGATATTCTTAATAACAAAAGTGATATATGCTCAGTACAAGTCAAATAAATGTATAAGGAAAAAATAATAACTCCTCTTTCTAATCTTACTCTACTGAGCTAATATAATATCCATTCTAAAGAATAATAAACAGCTATTTGTGTTAACCTGGAGGGATGTCAAGATATGTTTTAAATTAAAAAGGAAAATGATTTATAGTCAGCACTTCATATCTACAGGTTCCACATCTGAGGATTCAACCAACCACAAATTAAGAGTATTTAGAGAAAAAACCCAATAAACATGGCAATACCACAATAAAAATAATATAAATAAGAAAAGCAATATACTGCAACAACTATTTATAGCATTTACATTGTATTAGGGGTTATAAGTAAACTAGAGATGATTTAAAGTATATGGGAAGATGTGTATAGGTTATATGAAAATACTATGCCATTTTATATCAGGGACTTGAGCGTTGCAGATTTTGGTGTCCCATAAGTCCTGAAACCAATCCCCTGCAGATACCAAAGAACGACTATACACAGGATGACTCCATGTTTTTAAAAAATTGTATCTATACATGTATAGCTCTGTAGTATGGGTATAACAAAGTTTATTCAAACACTGTCCTGTAGATGGACAGTCAGGGTACTTGCAATTTATTGCCTCTACAAGAAATGCTGCCAGAGACTTCCTTAATCGTGAGCCCTTATGCCTAGGTGCCTTTATTTCTGTAGAAGAGATTCCCTGAGGTAGAACTACTGGGTCAAAATGTACATGTCATTATTCCTAGGAGAGGAAAAATGCATAGAATTAATACAGCATTACTGAAATTTAATTAATAGAAAAATGGAAAGCCCAACCTGTGTTTCTCTGTGCCCATGACCAGAGAATACCAGTCAGATAATTTAGTGTCTCCAACCATTCAGGAGAGAGATAATAGTCTGTGTACTTTACAAAATTAGAAAAGCCAATTTTCATTACTGGAGAAGGGTTCTAGTGAGCCTCATAAAGTATACACACTGAGTGCTTCCTCTCTGCCAGGGAAGTCATAAGCATAAGAGACACAGAAAAGGATAAACTGGTCCCTGGTCCCAAGGAGGTGAGAGTCTGATAGGGGAGACAGATCAGTAATCACATTTACAGTACACGGTGAGAAGAGCTATGACAGAGACATGCACAAGTTGAACTGGAAACCCAGACATGGGTCACCCACAGTTCTTAAGATTGTCTAAAACACATGCAGAGTCACCACACACAGCCAAGGAAGCACCTAAAGCTTAATATACAGTTGGCTAAAAAGCTCAGTGGTTAAGGCCTAAAATCAATGATTAAGTCAAATGGCCAGAGACAGGCCAATAAATGATCTAATAACAAGTTAAAGCTTTATAATGTTATATTTAAGTTCTTTATTTTGAGAGGCCTAAAGACAAACTTACGTATATTTATAGTGCAACTTTATAATTCTTATAATAGGGATAGAAACAAACCCAAATTTCCAACTTGTAAAATCAATTTATTAAATAAAATTATTTTTTGACCACTGGTATATCTACATCCATGTAATAATAAGACATTGTATAATGGGGTTTGACTATATTTCTACAATCTTAATAAACAAAAGTCATTGAAAATACAGCTCTTACTTTATGATTTGGTTTCTGTTGACAGGAGCGGGTTTCCACGTGACACAACAATTACTGTGTAGTTCAGCTTTAAAGATGAGCTATAAAAAGAATCCAGGGAATATATTTTTAAATTGATGATGGATGATGTGTTGGCTTCAAGAACATCTGCACAATCCACTTAAAAGGAAATGGTAAAATGATGTGGGTGTAAAGAAGCACTTCATAAAACATTTCCATCGATGCTAATTTTATTTTCTTTATTTACTTTTGGGAGACAGAGTCGCTCTGTTGCCAGGCTGGAGTGCAGTGGCACAGTAGCTGTTCACTGCAACCTCCACCTCCCGGGTTCAAGCGATTCTCCTGCCTCGGCCTCCTGTGTAGCTGGGACTACAGGTGTACCACCACATCCAGCTAATTTTTGTATTTTTAGAAGAAACGTGGTTTTACCATGTTAGCCAGGATGGTCTCAATCTCTTGACCTTATGATCCCCTCGCCTTGGCCTCCCAAAGTGCTGGCATTACACGTGTGAGCCACCACACCTGGCCCATCAATGCTTATTTTTAATCTAAAAATATATAGTCTATAAAAGCAAAATTTTTAACACTAGAGCTGGAAAAATCTGATTTTCTCAGTCCTCCTGCCTAGGCCCAACAGAGGAGAGGTATTTTCTGGTTTTGCATTTGTTTATATAACATAAATCATCTTAAATAGTTTGCTTAAGTAAAATATTTTATACTTAGCACCTTCCCACAAAGGAATTAAAAATAAGGTTTTTCCTCCCCCAAGGTCATTTTGCAAAAACTACAGTATATCATCCTGTAGCACTTACCTGCACACCACTCTCCCTTCCTTCTCTCCTTCCTTCCTTCCTTCTCTCCTTCCTTCAACAGTATTAACCAGTAACAATTGAATGCTTGTCATGGTGCTATCTACACAGATTCCAAAAGCAACCTAGTCCACTAAAGGGTTTTATAACACAGTGCAGTATTAGATTGTAAATATACACGATTACATTTAGAAGAGTTGAACACTTCTGGTTCAGTGTTGTTTAATAATTGCATCAATAATATGAATGATTGAATAGAAGTCCAGTTTCCTATGGACCAAAACTGTTCCTCTGCCTTTAATGATAAGTTCTGAATCCCAACGATCACAGTAAATTGGAAATGTAGTCAGATGAAAATAGATTAAAATCAATGAGAAAGACTCCCTGCTAATTTAGAAGTAGGAAAACTACACTATTCAAATGAAATTATCGAGACAAACTTTTTATGCAAAAGAATATCAGAAAAGTATCAATTGCAGTGAATACCAAACGATTATTATAGTCATGTGGACTAGTCACTTTTTCAGGGTGAGCCTCATAGTTTGTAGGAGCCCGGAGGTAGTTCTTCCTTGACAGTCACACGCAATATTACTAAAGCAGGCTAATCAGTTGGGATATACTAACTCAAAGAAATATGGATGAGCTTATAGAAGATTCACAGATACATCAATATTTGTAAAATAAATATTATTAAGTTTCTTAATAAGCAGCCCCTGAGTATATTCACAGCATGACTCCACAGCAGCCATTCTCTATCCCCACTGAGGATGGACGAGCAGGTAAAGGAAGCATACAAGGAATGAAAGCTGCCCTGTGGTTTGAGATCAAACCAATTCCTCATCTTTCTGAAATGTTCGCATAGTCCTTCCTAGAAATAGAAAGGAACAAAAATCAAAACACTGACTTTAAAGATAATTAATAAGCAAGCAGCTTGTCAGGAACTGTGAAAACATAGCCATATTTCTTCCGTCTTTTGATTAGAGAAAATGTATAGATATGGATTACTTATATATAACAGAGGCTTGTAATATATCTGAGGAAGAGCTTTATGTTTTATTCATTCTTTTGTTTTATAATCTTCCTTCCCTCACAATGGGTTTTAAACACTTTTCAGAAATTCTGGGTAGATGCTATTGAGAGAGGCATAGTTTTAAAATATTCTTGAGTCTTCTCATAGAAGATCAAATATGAGAACAAAAGCATAATCCCTTGGGTGACGTGTGCAGCAAACTAGGTAACAAGGTATCCCCTACATACCCCTATATACTGGGAGACAAAGCACACATAGCTGCAAGACTGATATGAGGTCATCCTCAGTGAAGGAAGACATAAGGTCAACAGGGCATCTGCATCCCTGAGAATAAGAGAACCCAATGAACTCTCCCTGGAGGCCCCATGCCAGCTGAGAGAGTGGCTCAGGTTACTTTCGTTTCACCAAAGCTCCCTTCCAAGACAAAATCCCACAATGAGGAGAAACTGCTAGGAAAGAATCCAAATTGTGCAGGATATGACAAAAGGAACAGAAGAAAGAGAAGGTTCAGATACGTGTTGTGAAAACAACAGAAAAGGGGACATTAGAGGCCTCAAACTAGAAAAGCTACCCTAACTACCATCCCACTGGAAATGATGGAAAACTTATTTTCCTTAAAAATTAGCATCCAAAAAATATGAGAGTTGAACTTATACAAAGATATTACATGAGACAGAGAGAGGCAAAACATCTACGCAAACAATTAAAATGAGTCAAAAGGCATACCTACAAAAGATAAAAATTGTAATATAATATTTAGCAGCCACTTAAATGAAACACAGGAAATGATAGAAGATAATAAAGCATAACAAATCAGAATTAAGAAAACCTAAAAATTGAGATAACTGGAGAAAATGAAAATTTGAGAAGAAAGGTGGCAGAATTTATAAAAGATTTTAAAATGAAGAATAATGTCATAATGTAAGACTAAACTAGAAGGGATACAAGAACAAGTAAATACAATCAGTAATACCTTTATGAATTAGATGACTCAACAAAATAGAAATTGAAGGGAACAACCTCAACCTGATTAAAGGCATCTACCAAGAACTCACAGCGAACCACACCTAATGGTGAAAGACTGAATGGTTTTCCTTAAAATAAGAAATAAGACAAGGATGTCTGTATGCTCTTACCACTTCTATTTAACATTGTACTGGAGGGTCTAGCTGGGCAATCAGGCAAGTGAATAGACTAAAACATATTCAGATTGGACATGAAAAAATAAAACTATCTCTATTTGAAGATGACATAATCTTGTATAAAGAAAATCTTAAGGAATCCCCCAAAAAAAGCATGATAGAACTAATATGTGAGCTCAGCAAAGCTGTATGATACCAATAAGTATACAAGAATCAATGATATTTCTATAGAGTTGCAATTAACAATGTAACAAAGCAATCTCATTTATAATACCATCAAAAGAACAAAATGCTCTCCATCAAAATCCAAATGAAATTTTTTACAGAAATAGAAAACAAATCCTAAAATTCATGTGGAAACACAAAGACCTTGGATAGGAACACAATCTTGAAAAAGATGAACAATGCTAGAGACATCACACTTTCTGATTTCAAAAATAAATTACAAAGCTACAGTGATTAAATCAGCATGGCATGTAGATCAATAGAACCAAATAGCCCAGAAATAAACCATGTATATGTAGTCAACTGGTCTTTGACAGAAGTACAAAGAATGTATAATAAGGAAAAGATAGTCTCTTCAACAAGTGGTGCTGGGAAAACTGAGTATCCACATTTAAAATAACAAAATTAGACCCTTATCTTACACCATACACAAAAATCAACTCAAAATGGATTAAAGACTTAAATATAAGACCAGGAAAGATAAAAATACTAGAACAAAGCATAAGAAAAGTTTCTTAACATTGGTCTTCACAATAATTTCCTGGATATGACACCAAAAGCACAGGCAACAAAAGCAAAAATAGATAAGCAGGACTACAGCAAAATTAAAAGCTTCAGCAGAGCAAAGGAAACAATCAACAGAATGTAAAGGGAATCTATAGAATAGAAGAAAATATTTGCAAATCATATATCTGATAAGGGGTTAACACCCTAAATATATAAGGTACTATTACAACACATTAGTAAAAAAAAAAAAAAAAAAAAAAAGTCAAATAATGTCTTTGATTTTTGGAAAAATGTCTACTAGATATTTTCCATTTGTATGTCTAAGGACATACAAATGGCCAACTGTACATGGAAAAATGCTTAATATCACTATCATCAAGGAAATGGAAGCCAAAACCACAATGAGATATCACCTCACACCTGTTAGGATGGCTATTATCCAAAAAACGCAAGACAACAGTGTTGGTGAGGATGTGGAGAGATTTAAACCCTGTGAACTATTGGTGGGAATGCGTAATAGCCACCATGGAAAACAGTATGACGGTTCCTCAATAATTTAAAAATAGAATTACCATATGATTCAACAATCCCACTTCTGGGTATACATCCAGAAGAAATGAAGTTCAGATCTTAAAGAGATATCTGCACTCCCGTGTTCACTTGCAACACTATTTGCAATATTAGATGTAGGATGTCGAAATAACCTCATGTCCACTGATGGATAAAAGGGTAGGAAAGTGTAGTAGATGCATGTAAAGGAATAATATTCAGCGTTAAAAAAGAAGGAAATGCTGAAATATGTGACAACATGGATAAACCTGGAAGACATTAAACTAAGTGAAGTAAGTCACAGAAGGACAAATACTGCATGACTTCACTTACATAAGGCATCTAAAATAATCAAACTCACAGAAGCAGAGAGTAGAACAGTGGTTGCCAGAGGCCGAGGAGAGAAAGTAATGGGGAGTTGCTAATCAATGGATATGGAGTTTCAGTTTTTCAAGATGAACAAGTTCTAGAGAGCTGCTGTGCAACACAGTGCCTATAGTTAATAATACCATGTTGTACACTTAGAAATCTAATAAAAGGGTAGATCTGGCAAGTGTTCTTATCACAATAAAAGAGAACTTTTTTAGGTTGTGATATCAGCAGATATTTTGGACTTGAGAATCTAATTTGAACTCATTAGACACTACTTTCCGTATTTTGCAAGAATGTTAATAAATAAATGTCTGCAAAAAATATATACTTTTCCTAATTTTGCCCACTTGCAAAGGTCTAAATTAAAAAAAAAAAAAACACTTAAACCAGTGTCAATAAGCTTTCTCAGAGTTTTAACTGAGATCTCTAAATACCACTCTCCACTG